ACTGATACGACTGATATGACAAGGATCCTAAAACAAAGTGATGAAGAAATAACCACCAGGGGTCCAAAAGCCCACTACAACATTTTTGTAGGCATACAGGAGGCATTCTCTAAAAGTATGATGTAACGCATGTAATCTAAGGAATATGTATGTTTAAGGAAAATATAATCACAGCCTGGTTGATGCCTGGGAGAGACACACTTGGAGGAGCTATCTCCCATGTCTCCCGGTACCTCAATAAAGAATACCTGCTTGTCAACTTAAAACTTTGTTGGCGAGTTCCTGGAGTTTTCTCTGAAACAATCTGGCACCCCAGATGGGATCCTCTCTGCTCGGCTGCAGGACCCAATGAGGACAGGTCTCCCAGGGCCCTCAGGAGTTTTACCTGGAGGGACCCCTTGACTCATTCGGATCACTGTGGGAGCAAACAAGAACCATCCTCATAAAAGGTATTCTTTTCTTTTGTATAGTCTGTAAGGTGCAGGGGGCATCTTGCATAAAGACTAAAATGGTGATTGGGTTGGGTTGGTAAGCGTACACAAGGTTTGGAAGCCTTCCGTAAATCGAGAAAGGAAATCTCGCGGGTAAAGGCATATACCCGGCTGCTAGCGTCCGTTTGGTATGCACCCACAAGAAGCAGGGGGCATCTTCTGGTTTGGGTCCTACAAGACGCAGTGGGCGTCTTGTAGAAACGGTTTTGAATTTTACTGCTATTTGACTTGTGTTGTGGCTTGTTAGAGTTACGATTTTGGTCTTGTGATTTTGGTCTTGGTGAGAGGCTGTTATAACTGCGTTATTAATTGTTGTCTGTGTTTCACGCGTTGTAACTGTGTGGAGTGTGTCTATTTTGTGGCTAGTTACAGTGATGGTTTTGGTCTTGTGATTTTGGTGTTGGTGACAGACCGTTATAACTGTTAATGGTTGCTGTTCGACAGAATTTTAGTCTCTGTCTCAAGTGTTGTAACTGTGTGGAGTGTGCCTGTGGGATCCCGTGTGTGTGTGGGAATGCAAGACTGACAATGGGAAATTGGCAGAGTGAAGACATCTTGAAAAGGAGTCCTTTAGGGTGCATTTTGGCACATTGGAAAGAACTGGGAGGGTTTCCTGGGGGCTCAGTAAATAAGAAAAACGTTGGTGAAATATTGTAACCAATGGTGGCCATTGTATACTCTGGAGGATCAGGACAAATAGCTTAAATCTGGAACTCGGAATTATAATACATTGTTGCAATTAATGTTATTTTTAAGGCAACAAGGAAAATGGGATGCAGTGATGCATGCAGATATGTTTTTCACTTTAAGAAACCACCCAGAGTGTCAGACGAAATGTGAAATTAATATAGCTCTGCCTGATCCCTAATTTTGGCTTTAGAAAAGGACAGGGAAAAACAGAAAGCTAAGCTGGAGAGATGTTGTTCAGCCTGTGATATTGGGGAAATTATGTTTAAAGTTAAAAAAAAAAACAAAAAACAAACACCTAGACAGAGTAATCGGGAAGATAGGTTGGGGGATTATGTATCACATGTACCTCCGAGAGGAGCACTCTCTGGCAACTGCTCCATCTGTTACTGATAAGGAGGAAGAGGCTGCTTTCACTGGCAACAGAGCAGAAGGACTTGAGAATGTTAAAGAAGCGTGGAGAGCGTACAGGAATCGGGAACAGATAGAGAAGAGCGAGCTGAGTTGTGCTATGGGCACGCCTACAGTGACTGCTTTGGGACAAGTAGAAATTGGTGGAGGAACTAATGCGAGAGGACGAGGCAGAGGTAGAGGAGGAATGTCAGGCAGAGGTGAGAGATTGAATTTTCCTGTGGGATGGAATCAGTGTGCATACTGTAAGGAGTTTGGACATTGGAAGTGAGACTGCCCTGGGGGAAGCTCCATGGTGTGGCTCCGGTGACCGAACTGGAACTAGACTGACAAGGACCTGGGGAATCTACCCTAGCAGATCCACTCATTAAATTAAAACTAGGCACTAGAGGAAATAAAGTGGAATTCCTAAGTGGTTACAGGAGCAACTTATTCAACGTTAAATCAGAGGAAAAGAATTTGTTACAGATGTGGTAGCTACTAGTCACCAAAAAAACAAAACAACAAAAAAACAATGAAAAAACAACAAAAAAAAAACAACAAAAAAACCCCAAACCCACATTCTTTCTGAAACCTGTAGAGTATAAACTGGGAAAACAAATCGGAATGCATAAATTTTTATGCATGCCAAATTCTCAAAAAATCTTTTATTAGGGCAAGAAGCAACATTTAAAGAAGGCAAAATGGAATTAAGAGTCCAAACCGATCAATTAATTGAAGTTTTGAGTTTATCTTTAATTCAGCAGAAAAGCAAACAGGAGGACCTCCCTGAAATAGAAGAAATCCTTAAACAGGTGTATCTGGGAGTATGGGCATCTGAAGTTCAGGTAAGGTGAAAAATGCTTTGCCTGTTGAAGTGGAAATAAAAGAGGGGCTGCCCAATTAGAATAAAACAGTATCGCTTAAAATTGGAGGATCGAAAGGGAATCAAAGAAATAATTTAAAAAAAATATGGATTATTAATTGAATGTGAATTAGAATATAATACTCCTATCTTGCCAGTAAAGAAATCCGATGGGAAAAGTTAGAGATTAGTTCAAGATCTCAGAGCAATCAACAAAATCGTGGAGGATATTCATCCAGTAGTAGCTAATCTATATACCTTATTGACTAAACTAATACTAATCAGGAGTGGTTTACCGTTCTGGACTTAAAGGATTGTCCTGGGTTCAGCAGTAGCAGTCATTTTTCTCCTTCTTGGTAGCTGGTGCAGTGCTGTGTTTTGACTTTCGGCCTGGGAACAGAACTGATAGCGATGTTTTGGTTTGGCCAAGGACTTTGTGAGGCTCATGCTCTGCCAAGGAGGAGGGGAAGCCAGGAGGAAGCAGAGACAGGACACCTGACCCAAACTGACCACAGAGGTATTCCATACCACAGCACGTCATGCCCAGGATGTAACTGGGAGTCAGCCGGAAGGGCTGGGAGACTGCAGGGTTGGAGGAGGTATCGGTCGGAGCTTGGTCGGGCTGGGGGGGCGAGTTATCGGTCAGCTGGTGGTGAGATGTTGTATTCTCTTCCCTTGTTATTTCCTTTATCATTATTATTATTGTTGGTAGCAGTAGCGATTTGTGTTATAACTTAGTTACTAAACTGTTCTTATCTCAACCCGTGGGAGTTGCATTCTTTTGGATTCTCCTCTCCGTCCCTTCGGGAGCAGGGGGAGGGCACGAAAGGGGGGGAAGTGAGCGAACTAATTGCCTGACTGGGTTTAAACCACGACAAGGATGCATTTTCCTGTCTGCCCCTGGCCAAAGAAAGTCAGAATTTATTTGCTTTTGAATGGGAAAACCCTGAAAAAGGAAGAAGGACACAGCTCACTTGGACGGCGTTACCTCAGGGATTTAAAAACAGTCCAACCATTTTCAGAAATCAATTGGCACGAGAATTAGAATCCTGGGAAGCATCCACTCAGACAGGAACTTTACTACAGTACGTGGACGACCTGTTAATTGCTACCAAAACTGAGAGAAAATGTGTTCAATGGACTGTAGAACTGTTAAACTTTCTGGGGCTAAATGGATACCGGGTATCTAAATGGAAGGCTCAACTAATTCAAACTTGAGTATCTTATTTAGGATGCAAAGTAACAGGAGGACAACCAGAACCTGGAGCAGCTCGGAAGGAAGCAATCTCTCAAACACCGTGACCGTCCACAGTTAAAGACATCCGGACATTTCTGAGAATGCCGGGATGGTGCCAACCCTGGATCCATGATTATGGTGTTCTGGTAAGACCCTTATACGAGCTGCTAAAAGAAAATCCAACCTTTCTAAAATGGACAGATCAAGCTGAAGAAACATTTAAAAGTTTAAAGACAGAGCTCATGAGAGCTCCAGCTCTGGGGGTCCCGCACATAACTAAACACTTTTGGCTATATTCCTATGAGAAATAGGGTGGGGTTTCTCAGCCTTGGGGGTTTTGCAGGTATGCAGATATGACTGATAAGACAACGATCCTAAAACAATGTGATGAAGAAATAACCACCAGGGGTCCGAAGCCCCACTACCACATTTTTGTAGGCACACAGGAGGCATTCTCTAAAGTATGATGTAATGTATGTAATCTAAGGAACATGTATGTTTAAGGACAATATAATCACAGCCTGGTTGATGATCAGCAGAGAGATGCTTGGAGGAGCTATCCCCCGTGTCTCCCGGCGCCGCAATAAAGAATACCTGCTTGTCAGCTTGAAAACTGTGTTGGCGAGTTTCTGGAGTTTTCATCATCAACAAGCAGGCGGCTCGAGCAGCTGCCCTCTTCCACTGCAGAGGCTGGAATGTCATTTCTTTTGCTTCATGAGCTCTGCTCATCAAGACCTGGCTGAATGTTCAGGGTAAACACATACCTTGCCGGTGCCCTACCAGAAGCCCCCTGGGAGGAATCCAACAACTACAAGAGGCAGGATAGTGGGGCTACAAATTGGAGACAAGGCTTAATACAAAACACCTCAGCACTCCAAACATTTCTTTCCCAATAACAGTGTTCAAACCCTCAGAGAAAACATCCCTGTTTCATCTAGCCAGCAGTTAGTTTGCCACAGACACACTTCCACAGCAAGTTTCACGCTCAAGATGCACAGCCATTCTTCTCAGGGTAGGAAGACGCTTAATCCCAACAGTCCAGTGCCTTTTGAACGAAGTAGACACTGCTGTGGCAGGGAAGCAGGACTGAAGCCCTGGCTTTGCTTTGGCACCCTTGGAAGGCAACGCGGCAGCGTTCAACGGACGTTTATTGTGTGGGGTCATTGAGAGCGGCACCAGCCATGGGAGCTGACCCTGGGGTCACCCGGTCCCAGCCCTGCCAGGGCAGGGGCACCTGAACGTGTCCAGGCAGGGCTTGGATGTGCCCAGAGAGGGAGCCTCCACATCCCCCTATGCAGCCTCTTCAGTGCTCTGACACTGCAAAGGAACAAGTTCTTTCTCATGTCCAGGTGAAACTTCTTCTGTTTCAGTTCATGCCCACGGCTCCTCATCCTGGGGCTGCCCACTACTGAAAAGAGTCACGCACCTTCCTCCTGGCACCTGCCCCAAACCTCCAATCAGCTCCCTCCACCACCTCTCCCCTTCTTCATCTCTGAGGGCTCATTCTCCTAGGAAGAAACTGCTTTCACCCTCCACAAGCAGGGTGGTCAATGGGAGTGGGAGACACCGGGCTTTGCTCCCAGGGTATCAGACCTCACTGCTCCCCAAACTCCCCCCACCTAGGGCTCCCCACCCCTGTGGGTCTGCTGGTGCCGGAAGAGCGCCGAGCTCGCTCTGAAGCCCTTTCCACACTCAGCACAGACGTAGGGACGCTCCCCGGTGTGGATGCGCAGGTGCTCGGTGAGGTGGCCACTCTGTCGAAAGCTGACCCCACAGTGGGCACAGGCGTAGGGCCTCTCCCCGGTGTGGACCCGCTGGTGCCGGATGAGCTGCACGTTGTCAGAGAAGCTCTTCCCGCACTCAGCACACTTGTAAGGCTTCTCCCCAGTGTGCACCCGCTGGTGCCGGACAAGCTGTGAGTTCTCATAGAACCTCTTCGGGCACTCGGCACACTTGTAGGGCTTCTCCCCAGTGTGGGTTACCTGGTGCTGGATCAGCTTTGAGCTCACGCTGAAGCTCTTGCCGCACTCTGAGCACTCATAGGGCTTATCCCCAGTGTGGACAAGCTGGTGTCGTGTCAGAGTTGAGCTCACGCTGAAGCTCTTCCCGCAGGTCCTGCATACGTAGGGTTTCTCCCCAGTGTGGACCCGCTGGTGTCGTGTCAAGGCTATGGACAAGCTGAAGCTCTTCCCGCAGGTGCTGCACTCGTAGGGTTTCTCCCCCGTGTGCACCCGCTGGTGCTGAATGAGCTTCGAGCTCTGGGAGAAGCTCTTCCCACACTCGGCACACTTGTAGGGCTTCTCCCTGTTGTGCACCCACTGGTGTTGTGTCAGGGCTGAGTTCACGCTGAAACTCTTCCCGCAGGTCACGCACTCGTAGGGTTTCTCCCCAGTGTGCACCCGCTGGTGCAGGACGAGCTGAGAGTTCCTAAAGAAGCTCTTCCCGCACTCGGCACACGTGTAGGGCTTCTCCCCCGTGTGGGTTACCTGGTGCTGGATCAGCTTCGAGCTCACACTGAAGCTCTTCCCGCAGGTCCTACACTCGTAGGGTTTCTCCCCAGTGTGCACCCACTGGTGCTGAATGAACTGCGAGTTGTCAGAGAAACTCTTCCCACACTCGCCACACTTGTAAGGCTTCTCCCCGGTGTGGGTTACCTGGTGCCGGATCAGCTTCGAGCTTTCTCGGAACCTCTTCCCGCACTCGGAGCACTCATAGGGCCGCTCCCCTGTGTGGATCCTTTGGTGCTGGATGAGATGTGACCGGTGCTGGAAACTCTCCCCACATTCGGTGCAGGAGAAGGGTTTTTCTCCGGTGTGGATTCTCTGATGCTGGATGAGGTTGGAGTTCATCTGGAAACTCTTCCCGCACTCCCCATGTATCGTCAGTTTCCCCATGGAACGGTTTCTCTGCTGGATAACATCCGGCAGCCTCCTGGAGCTTTTTCCACACAGTGCCGCTCGGCTTGGCCTCTTCCCCAGAGAACTCTGAATCCTTTCGGACCTGCGTGGCAGAACAGGGTCCTGTGCAGGACCCTGGGAACTGTTCTCCTCGGAGAGTCCTGAGCAGAAACCCTTGGGCTCCACTGGCCGGGGGATGCCTTGATGGGCATTGTCTTCATTTGTGCTCACAATCCCACCATCAGCTGCAATAAAATGAGAATTCAGACAAGTCACAGGCAGGAATGGAAGCTTGAATTAATGAACAGATGACGAGAGGACAGGCTGGGGAAGACCTGGCACAGCCTTTGGAAAGATATATCTCACTTCACAAACCACTCAGAGTTGTTCAGAGATGTCCCCAGCTTTATCAAAAGGGACATCTGGGGTCTGGAGGCATTCCCAAAAGACATTCATCCTTCACCAAAACAGGTACAGAGGAAGACAGAGGCATGACAGGAACCATCAGAGGCACAGAGCAGCTTCTGTATAGGAGATGAGTCAGCTGCCCATTCTGCTGGGAAAAGGTACAGCTGATAGGGGGTATCACAGAGGACTATAAAAACACAAGTGGCCTGTGGGGTGGTTTGGCATCTATCCTGCACCATCTAGTCTGAATTAAGAACTCGTGCCAGCAGGAAAAGGCACTTTCAAAACAAACTAAAGGAGGCTGCAACTCATAAATCACCTAAATAAGCTGGGGAACTCCTTGCTTGCTGCAAGCTGCCACGGCTGCTACAATGTGCGCAGCTTGAGAAGGCAAGAAGATAGATCTTGAGACATTATGGGCCTAGTTCAGGAGCTTCTGAAGCCACAGACGGCTCAGGCCTGTGAAAGGATACAGGGACACATCACTGTTTGTCTGCCCTTCTCTGGGTCTTGATCAAAGGCTGGGCCTGCTGCCTGCGGTATGAGGAAAGGCTGAGAGCTGGGCTTGCTCTGCCTAGAGAACAGAAGGCTCGGGGGAGACATGATCACCACAGTCCAGTATTTAAGGGTGCCTACGAAGAAGACGGGGGCTCCCTTTTCACAAGGAGTCACATGGAAAAGACGAGGGGTACAAGTTACTCCTGGGCAGATTCTGGTTGGACACAAGAGGAAAAGTTTTCCCAGTGAGAACAACCAGCCATTGCAATAATCTCCCCAGGGAAGTGGTGCACTCCCCAGTGTTGGACGCTTTAAAGACTCAGCTGGACAGGGCACTGGGACATCCAGTCCAGGTCATGCTTTGCCTGGAAAAGTTGTACTGGATGATCCTTGAGATCCCTCCCAGCCTGGTGCCCTGTGGCGCTATGAATACCGTCGCCACAGGCAGCAGGTGAAGCTGGACGGGCCCTGCTCCAACCCAGCACCTCCGCCCTTGTACATTCTGGGGGCGCTGGTGCTCCCGGAGCACTCTTTCTCATGACGGGTTCACACTGACGGCCCTTACCTGAGGTGCCGCTCAGAGCACTCTTCCCTTCGCAGGAGCGGGACAACCGCAGTTCCTCCTTCTGATCCATGTGGATGAGCATCTCCGGCGCCGCTCCGGGGAAAGAAACGAAGAGGGTCAGGCCAGCTGGGCTTTCACCGACCGCTACCAGCGGCGCGGCTCGGGAGCTAGCGGCTCCGCGACGAGCAGGGACCCCGGCTCCAAGGGGCGTGCAGCGGAAAGCACCGGGCCCCGCAGCACGCCCCTGCCAGGGAGGCTCACGCGGCCGCGGGGGGCGGGCTTCCGGGCCAAGCCCTACCGGGTCAGGGCCCGCTCCCTGCGGCCCGGCCAGGCCCGCCCTCAACGCCTGGGACGGCGCACCAGGGGGGTGCTGCCCCGTGACGGCAGCGACCAGCGACGGGCGGTGCTTTCGCCTCCACGGCCGGAGGGAGATGGCGGCGCTGGGCTTCCGGTGGCGATGGTGCCGTCCTACGGTGGGGCTCCCCCCGCGGGCCTGCCGGTACCGAGTGATATAAGGAAAGCAACTGCCTGGAAAACATAGGGTTAAAATACTTTTAACTTCACTTAGGTCTGAGATAAAGAACAATGTTTGAGTTGTATGTCTGTGGTGTCATAACAGAATTTAGTAGTCTTACTAACAAGAGTGAACTATTTCTTACCATCCTTCTAATTATCAGTTAGTTTGGGGACAGGGACTCCCGAACATCTGCTAGCTTAGGATACTCCTTGTCTGCCCATCCTGTTCTGCTTGCAGTATTTCCTGCCCTTGCCTTCCGCGGGTATGAGAGGATACTGGACTGCCTGGAGGGGTGTCTGATTCGGAATCCCCACTTTCCTCTTGTGGTGGTTCCTGTCTCACAGGTGGTTTATAATATTCTGGTAAATCCCCACCTCCAGAGTGCCCTGCCTTTCCCAGTCTGGTACATCTCTGCTCTATACTATGTGCCAAACAACATCTCTTTAACTTCCCTTTTCCTTCCTTCCTATTACCCTTCTCCAGAGCCAACACCATCGGGTCTTGTGGAGCCCCCAGCCCACATTCTGTCTGCCATTCAGGATGATCCCGAAGGGTAAAGAACATATCAGCATATGAAACTTCATCCCATTTTCCTTCTCGTCTCAAAAATAACATTAATTGTAATAAGGTATTATAATTCCAAGTTCCATTGAAGGGCCACTTTTCCCCATCTTCCAATTCATATGAAGGCCATCACTGATTACAATATTTGGTCAAGGTTTTCTTATTCACACTTCCTCCCAGTGGCCCCCCTGTATCTTTCCAATGAGCTAAAATGCAACCTGAAGGGCTCTTTTTGAGAATTCCCCCACTCTGCTGTCCTCCCATTGTAAGCCTTTAAAGATATAAGACACCGTTAGCCCTACAACAATAATATCTTACCCAGAGTAAAAGGTATAAGGACGTGCTGCACCCACAACAGATACACCCAAATTCCAAACACTTCTGTAAATAAACGGCTTGTCTCCCACCAAAAGAGATAATATATTTTGAACAAGCAGGACACTGAGCTCGGATATACAAACAACAGCGATGACAAATTGTGCAAGGGCTAGTTGGAGCCCTGCACCAGGGAGCTTGATCACTACTCTGACAGTTAACCCCTATATTGCTCTACTTGCTATGCCACGTCTCACTCACACAAAACACTCATTCACACAAAGGGCCGGTCTCTCAATCACCCACTTCATACAGAATGTCCTCTAAGCCAGGAATTGGTAACACATAAATCTTAAGCCACTGTTTACCCACCAGAGGTTCCTGAAGCTGTTAGTACAGTGACCTTTGTGTACCCTACCAACCCAACCCAACCCAACCCTTGGGGCGAGCACCTGCGCTCTCCACCTTGTGTAGGACACCTTCTCATGACCCACAGGTATCCCCTTTACCTGGTTCAAACATACCTGATGATTCACTAGTGATGGCCCTTGTCTGCTCCTGCGGTGATCTGAGTGAGTGGGGGAGTCCTCCCAAGAAATCTCGGGGGCGCCCAGAGGAGTCCCGTACTCAGGAGGTCCTGCAGCCGGACAGAAGTTGTCCCATCTGGGGTGCAAACTAAAGGACAGAATCAGACTCTAAAACTCAAAGAGAGTTATAAAGCAGGTATGTTTATTACGGCGCCGGGTGAAAGGGGGACCGCTCCTCCTAACTTGCACACCGAGGGGTTAAGTAGGCAGATATGTATTATGTACAAACATGCATGTTCATTAGGTTCCCGAGAGTTCGGTGGGGATAGTATTTTAGGAACTCATTATGATAAGTCTCTTCCCTTTTGGCGCCTGTGCGCTGCCCTCCAATAGTCGTGGGCAAGGGTCTTCAAGATGCAGTAAGCAGTCTTCCTCAGGGTGCACTTTTCACCTTTGGCGCAGTGGGATGCCCCAGTGAGCACAAAATTAGCTGAAACCAGCCGTATCTGTAAGTTTCTGATTGCTGGCAATGATTTAGACCAGTGTGACCTTCGTACAAAATTTATGGGAAGCAGAACAGGATGGGCAGACAAGGAATATCCTAAGCTAGCAGATGTTCAGGAGTGACTGTCTCCAATCTAAATGATAATTAGAAGGATGGTAAGAAATAATTCACTCATTAGAAGGATGGAAAGAAGTACTTCACTCTTGTTAGCAAGACTACTAAATTCTGACATCGCCAGAGGCTGTCCCCGCAGGCAAAGGGTCTCTCTCCGAGTATCTGTGGAAGGCTTCAGCTCTGCTTGCTGGGAAGGCTCATCCATGCCAGACCAACAGCAAATGCCCACCTCAGGGGCAATGTACACCCTTCATGGCAGGAGCTTGATGAACAAGCAGATGCAAGATGCGAGAAGGTACGTAAACATCTGCAGCACAGCTTTTCAGAATAAACCTACAGAGGCTATGTTTTCAGGCAGCACACAAATCAACGTGGTGGTAGCTGCAAAGGATGACCCACAGTGCCGCTGATCATTTCACTGTCACAGTGAATTTATAAGCAGTGTGTTCCGAAGCTCACTCAGGGCTCACACGGTGTATACTGGCAAGACACGCTTTGTACAAAGCCAGTAACATACCTGCTCCTTTCTTTAGCCTAAAAAGTAAATCAATACCTTAGTTGAAAAGTTGAGTTTGGTTTGCTTCTTCTGCAGCCTTGGAAGTGTTAAACAGAAGTATCAAAATATTTCTGATAGCTGTTACTACCCACTGGAAATAAAAATGAAAGCAATGCATTTTCCAAGACAAATGTGCCTGCATTAGGAAGGCAAGAAAACACATGAATGTATACAAACAGAACTGGCTGGCAACACGTCATCACTGGCACATGGGAACACCGGTGCTAGCTTGGGAAGGCTGCCTTTGCTTACGGAGTAATGAAGCAGGGGATTGAATGATTTCTGTCAGGGAATTTGCAGTGCATGTCAGAAACGTCCTCAGAATTTCTGTCAGGGAATTTGCAGTGCATGTCAGAAACAAAGCAGTTACCTCCAAACCTTGGCAGCACAGATGTGGTATTAAGTCATCTTTCCGCATTAGGCAGAGACTGCCCTGGTGCAAGCTTTAAGGATGACAAAGATAGGAGGATGGAGACACTTTCAGTGCCTAAAATTCACAGTTTTTTCATAACATACTAAACAATTTTTTATGACAAAGTGTTATTTGAATGACTGCAATTTACATCCACTGAACTGTGACACCGCATTAACTGAGGATTTAATAACCGATTACAAAAGCTTTGATTGTAAATGCAAGTCATACCTAAAAGAGAGTAAAAAAGCTGGGAAAGGATCTTACTTATTTTCCCATATTAAGACTGGTGAGTAGGACTGAAGTTTTTTCAGGGCTGAAGTGTGTACTTGAGAGAGAAATACACGGTACGCTGAGGGTAACAGCATTTACTAGAATGACACTTAAGGCAACCTTGGCCTTTTCACATAACAAAGTTGGCTCTTGCACAAAAAGGTGGCTTGGGAAAAGTGATGTGAAAGCCAGGCAAGAAAACTATCCCAAATTCCTGACAATTCACCACATGTGGCACAAGGCTTTGCTACGAGGTGTCCCACATACACTATACCTACCATAGACCTGACAGAGAAGAGCTTCATCAGTGGCCACCCTTTTCCCCTCCACCAGGAGCTCTCCCTCTGAGGCCAGACCAGACCCTTTCCAGAGCCCATCCTACAGCAGACAGTCCCCTTTTCCCCAGGTCTCTCTTATCTTGTGGCTGCACAGCCTACACGAACTGGGCTCTCTCCCTGACTGATGATGACTCTCTCCCTGGGTGTCAATGTTAACTTCTTTCCCTCCAGTTAGACAACTGGAGTTTCAGTTAGTACAGGCGCAGACTCAAGTGCTCTCCACTAGACCCAGTGTTGCTGCTTAGAATGCACCCCTGGACTGTCATAAGACATTACTTATGATTTAACATTAGTACCTTACACATTGTTTATTGTATGTCGTATAAATCAAATAAACTCAAAGATATATGGTATAAAAATAAAAATACTGACATGTTCCAAATATATAAATACTTTTAGAAATCCGGCTTCTTATTTTGAAGTGTTGAGTCCATTTTGTTCATTAAGACTCTGCAGACTCAGAACTTCCAGAATGACAAAATTCAGAAGATGCTGTGAAAATAAATATGTAAAAGATGACACTTCAGGGTCCAAGACCTCCCCAAGAGTCCCAGAGAGTTTACAGCCTAAGATCAGTCCACTTTGGAAATGATCAGGTTTTCTGACTAGTCTGCTACAGATATCTGCAAGAGACACTCCAGACCCACCAGTGGCCATGCAGCCAGGCAGCATGAAACTGTCTAAAGTCAAAGAGAAGTCAACCAGCACAGAATATCTAGGTATTCTGGGAAGCACCCTGCTCACTCTTCCCAAGTCTGAAGCCTCGACTTTCAGAGCATGTGTGTGAATTTGCTGTTTAAAATAACCTCCAAGACAACAGTCTTGCCTAAAGTGGTGGGCATTCTGCAAAGACAAGACAGGCAGCTGGCTGGAGCATAGTTCACCTCTAGGGTAATCTTTCAAACCAAGGAGCTGCCATCACATTAGTCTGCCCAGCAAACCATGGAAAACTGGCTCGCCTTGGCCAGCAGGACACAAACATGAATGCCAAATGGTCAAAGCATTTCTGAAGGGCAAGTGATAGTAGAAACTAAAAAACCCCAACTGCTTGCTGCCAGCTTTAGCCAGATTGCTCCTTCCCATCCCTGCTGGGACACTTTGAGTAAACAGATTTACTGCACACATACATTTGGTTAATCAGCTATTGGAGTCCTCCACCCCTTTTCAGATGAGGAGAAAGATCACACCCTTTAACCTGGAAGGTCTCCTGCCTTACCCAATACTGTCTGTGCCACACTGTCAGACAGGACTCACCTGACATTATCATCTTCTACTTCCCCATAGAGCAACATTTCCCCTTCTCCCCTCTCTGCTCTCCATTGCAGGCATTATTGCTGGTTAGTGCTGGAGATTAGACGACCTGAAAGGCAAAACCAGAGAGAGGTTTTAGACAGAATCTGCTTTCATGAAGGAATGGGTCTGAAATGCTGAGCCATACAGCAAGCAGCCTCTGAGCTGCTCCACCAGGCAGGGTGGTGAGGAGCAGCCACTGGCCATTTTCACGGCACAGCAGGCACTTTCAAGGAAGCAATCTTGCTTGTTCGGTTCAATTACCCCAGTGAACCTCAACACTAACACCACCCAGCTCACCAAATGTTAGCCTCAGAGGATACCTACAACACAGCACGCTGCATTTGGTTTCCCACTTCAGGATGGCTCCTGGCTGAAAATGATCAGAGACCTTCACAGTAGCTATCTGCACCAAAATTGTGATCAAGCTGCTTTCCACTAGGGCTACCAAACATTTCATCCAGTGCCAGACTCTGAGCAGAGCTACTTCATTTTCACAGTGGTATGGAGCTTTCCCTAGAGGAAAGCAGTGGTGAATTAGGCAAGAGTCAGGCAGCTCAAAGGGAGAGCCGAGTTTCCTCTTAAGCAGAAATCCACCCACCTCATTTACAAAATGGACCTGTAATCAGCTTTGTGCAGAGCAGCACCATCACCTTAGAGGCAGCCTTGCCATATCAACAAGGAACTAAGCTGCTTCCTGGCTCTTGGAAAGCACTCACTGTAAGAGAGCCAACCCTCATCCTCTCCCATTCGAGGTCAGTCCCCTCAGGGCTAGAAGAGCAGGCAGGCAGCTGCAAGTTCACCAAGCTCAGCACAGGGCCAGCACCAGCACATCAGCTCCTGGCTCCCAGCTATAAATAAACTGTCATCTGGCTCCTCATCGTGAGTTTCTGAAGCCCTGTTCTACGGCCACTTCCACTGCCCTCCACGCTCCAGCACAGGACTCGGCCAGGAGCGCTGGGAGCTGGGTCCGAGCACCCAGTCTGGAGGACACATCACCAGGGTGAGGGTTTCCCCTGTGATCACACAGTCCTTGGGCTCACTGGGACAGAGCCTTCCCCAAGGGGAGGACTGACCACAAAACACTACCTTGTGATGCCAGCCAGCCCATTGCAGGAACAGAAGTCACAGTGGAAGCAGCCCCACATCCCCAGGGCCCTGCACCACAGGATAGGACACAGCACAGCCTCCCCAGCCAGAGGGTAGAGGAAGACAGGTTCAAGGGCGCCATTTTCATTTTGATCACTCACTGGACAGCAAGCACCACACCAGGTCAGCAAACTTGTCACAGCTCCAAACATCCACCATGGGGAAAGGAAACTGAAGCAAAGAGGCAGAACCTGCCTAGGCTGAGCCAGGTGCCGGTCACGGGCTCAGGGGAACAGCCTACCTGACTCACAGCACAGCCAGCCTCCTGCCAGCACAGCTGCACAAGTCCTGATGGTATCCTGGTTTCCTGCGCAGCTGGCTTCAAGTCAGGCACTCCTCAAGAAATGCAGATTCCAAAATTAAAGAAACTGGTTCCAATTTATCTTATACTTCCAGACAGGCAGAGTCCTGCAGGTAGGGTGTGCTGCCTCTGCGTGCTGACAGGCTTGACGTTACATCGTTACATCCAATCCAAAGGAAGCCACCAGATCGAGCCTCAGACATGACTAGTTAACAGCAGCAGCAATGGCTCAAGTCTCTCAATGGCCATACATGCACAGCATGACTCCAGAGATCATCATTCTGTAAGACACATCTGCTAACTCTCTTGACAGGGCCTCTGCACCCATGTCTTGCAACACACTCATGTTTAGCAGCACTCACCAGCACTGGGACTTTGCTCTCCATGCCATGGGGCATCTGCTGGGCTCTCAGAAGCCTTTACCCAAACCTGTAACTACTATTGTAGAAGCACAACTCAGAGCAGTAAATTACTGTTCCAGCAGCAGTGTCTGCTGCTGGACGAAGGGGTAGTACACAAACAGTCATTTAAGGACTTTGGTGCAGTCAGACTCGTATCTCCCACAACTGTTTTTGCAGATGCTCCATCTGACATGATCACCTCTACAGCGATAGGCAGAACAGTGACAGCACCAGTCCCTTCAGCTCAACTGAGGACACTACATACACAGGACCACATGGAAGCTGAGATTTTTCCCAGTACCATCCAGCACAGACATGATGAGCCGTGAATTCAGGAGACAAGTCAGCACAAATCAAACCCCTGTCCTTTTCAGTACTAGGCTATCACATGAGAACTCAGAGGAAGGGAAGTAAGAATCACTGCATCTCTTACCATTACACATCCCTTTTATTCAGAAACTGGTAGCTGAAAGCCCACAACACGGTCACCCCTCAGGGCCCTCATTTCTCCCGGGTTTGCTGCCCTGGAAGAGGACGTGTCTTACTCACTGAAGAATGGGGTTGATTGAAGAATAGGGTTGTAAACAAGGAACCTCGAGGATGTTAGGCTTTGTTAGCAACTATAGAGAAAAGGAAATTACTAAGATAAGCTTTGCCAGAACCGCCTGGTGGTTACTGATACGACTGATATGACAAGGATCCTAAAACAAAGTGATGAAGAAATAACCACCAGGGGTCCAAAAGCCCACTACAACATTTTTGTAGGCATACAGGAGGCATTCTCTAAAAGTATGATGTAACGCATGTAATCTAAGGAATATGGATGTTTAAGGAAAATATAATCACAGCCTGGTTGATGCCTGGGAGAGACACACTTGGAGGAGCTATCTCCCATGTCTCCCGGTACCTCAATAAAGAATACCTGCTTGTCAACTTAAAACTTTGTTGGCGAGTTCCTGGAGTTTTCTCTGAAACAATCTGGCACCCCAGATGGGATCCTCTCTGCTCGGCTGCAGGACCCAATGAGGACAGGTCTCCCAGGGCCCTCAGGAGTTTTACCTGGAGGGACCCCTTGACTCATTCGGATCACTGTGGGAGCAAACAAGAACCATCCTCATAAAAGGTATTCTTTTCTTTTGTATAGTCTGTAAGGTGCAGGGGGCATCTTGCATAAAGACTAAAATGGTGATTGGGTTGGGTTGGTAAGCGTACACAAGGTTTGGAAGCCTTCCGTAAATCGAGAAAGGAAATCTCGCGGGTAAAGGCATATACCCGGCTGCTAGCGTCCGTTTGGTATGCACCCACAAGAAGCAGGGGGCATCTTCTGGTTTGGGTCCTACAAGACGCAGTGGGCGTCTTGTAGAAACGGTTTTGAATTTTACTGCTATTTGACTTGTGTTGTGGCTTGTTAGAGTTACGATTTTGGTCTTGTGATTTTGGTCTTGGTGAGAGGCTGTTATAACTGCGTTATTAATTGTTGTCTGTGTTTCACGCGTTGTAACTGTGTGGAGTGTGTCTATTTTGTGGCTAGTTACAGTGATGGTTTTGGTCTTGTGATTTTGGTGTTGGTGACAGACCGTTATAACTGTTAATGGTTGCTGTTCGACAGAATTTTAGTCTCTGTCTCAAGTGTTGTAACTGTGTGGAGTGTGCCTGTGGGATCCCGTGTGTGTGTGGGAATGCAAGACTGACAATGGGAAATTGGCAGAGTGAAGACATCTTGAAAAGGAGTCCTTTAGGGTGCATTTTGGCACATTGGAAAGAACTGGGAGGGTTTCCTGGGGGCTCAGTAAATAAGAAAAACGTTGGTGAAATATTGTAACCAATGGTGGCCATTGTATACTCTGGAGGATCAGGACAAATAGCTTAAATCTGGAACTCGGAATTATAATACATTGTTGCAATTAATGTTATTTTTAAGGCAACAAGGAAAATGGGATGCAGTGATGCATGCAGATATGTTTTTCACTTTAAGAAACCACCCAGAGTGTCAGACGAAATGTGAAATTAATATAGCTCTGCCTGATCCCTAATTTTGGCTTTAGAAAAGGACAGGGAAAAACAGAAAGCTAAGCTGGAGAGATGTTGTTCAGCCTGTGATATTGGGGAAATTATGTTTAAAGTTAAAAAAAAAAACAAAAAACAAACACCTAGACAGAGTAATCGGGAAGATAGGTTGGGGGATTATGTATCACATGTACCTCCGAGAGGAGCACTCTCTGGCAACTGCTCCATCTGTTACTGATAAGGAGGAAGAGGCTGCTTTCACTGGCAACAGAGCAGAAGGACTTGAGAATGTTAAAGAAGCGTGGAGAGCGTACAGGAATCGGGAACAGATAGAGAAGAGCGAGCTGAGTTGTGCTATGGGCACGCCTACAGTGACTGCTTTGGGACAAGTAGAAATTGGTGGAGGAACTAATGCGAGAGGACGAGGCAGAGGTAGAGGAGGAATGTCAGGCAGAGGTGAGAGATTGAATTTTCCTGTGGGATGGAATCAGTGTGCATACTGTAAGGAGTTTGGACATTGGAAGTGAGACTGCCCTGGGGGAAGCTCCATGGTGTGGCTCCGGTGACCGAACTGGAACTAGACTGACAAGGACCTGGGGAATCTACCCTAGCAGATCCACTCATTAAATTAAAACTAGGCACTAGAGGAAATAAAGTGGAATTCCTAAGTGGTTACAGGAGCAACTTATTCAACGTTAAATCAGAGGAAAAGAATTTGTTACAGATGTGGTAGCTACTAGTCACCAAAAAAACAAAACAACAAAAAAACAATGAAAAAACAACAAAAAAAAAACAACAAAAAAACCCCAAACCCACATTCTTTCTGAAACCTGTAGAGTATAAACTGGGAAAACAAATCGGAATGCATAAATTTTTATGCATGCCAAATTCTCAAAAAATCTTTTATTAGGGCAAGAAGCAACATTTAAAGAAGGCAAAATGGAATTAAGAGTCCAAACCGATCAATTAATTGAAGTTTTGAGTTTATCTTTAATTCAGCAGAAAAGCAAACAGGAGGACCTCCCTGAAATAGAAGAAATCCTTAAACAGGTGTATCTGGGAGTATGGGCATCTGAAGTTCAGGTAAGGTGAAAAATGCTTTGCCTGTTGAAGTGGAAATAAAAGAGGGGCTGCCCAATTAGAATAAAACAGTATCGCTTAAAATTGGAGGATCGAAAGGGAATCAAAGAAATAATTTAAAAAAAATATGGATTATTAATTGAATGTGAATTAGAATATAATACTCCTATCTTGCCAGTAAAGAAATCCGATGGGAAAAGTTAGAGATTAGTTCAAGATCTCAGAGCAATCAACAAAATCGTGGAGGATATTCATCCAGTAGTAGCTAATCTATATACCTTATTGACTAAACTAATACTAATCAGGAGTGGTTTACCGTTCTGGACTTAAAGGATTGTCCTGGGTTCAGCAGTAGCAGTCATTTTTCTCCTTCTTGGTAGCTGGTGCAGTGCTGTGTTTTGACTTTCGGCCTGGGAACAGAACTGATAGCGATGTTTTGGTTTGGCCAAGGACTTTGTGAGGCTCATGCTCTGCCAAGGAGGAGGGGAAGCCAGGAGGAAGCAGAGACAGGACACCTGACCCAAACTGACCACAGAGGTATTCCATACCACAGCACGTCATGCCCAGGATGTAACTGGGAGTCAGCCGGAAGGGCTGGGAGACTGCAGGGTTGGAGGAGGTATCGGTCGGAGCTTGGTCGGGCTGGGGGGGCGAGTTATCGGTCAGCTGGTGGTGAGATGTTGTATTCTCTTCCCTTGTTATTTCCTTTATCATTATTATTATTGTTGGTAGCAGTAGCGATTTGTGTTATAACTTAGTTACTAAACTGTTCTTATCTCAACCCGTGGGAGTTGCATTCTTTTGGATTCTCCTCTCCGTCCCTTCGGGAGCAGGGGGAGGGCACGAAAGGGGGGGAAGTGAGCGAACTAATTGCCTGACTGGGTTTAAACCACGACAAGGATGCATTTTCCTGTCTGCCCCTGGCCAAAGAAAGTCAGAATTTATTTGCTTTTGAATGGGAAAACCCTGAAAAAGGAAGAAGGACACAGCTCACTTGGACGGCGTTACCTCAGGGATTTAAAAACAGTCCAACCATTTTCAGAAATCAATTGGCACGAGAATTAGAATCCTGGGAAGCATCCACTCAGACAGGAACTTTACTACAGTACGTGGACGACCTGTTAATTGCTACCAAAACTGAGAGAAAATGTGTTCAATGGACTGTAGAACTGTTAAACTTTCTGGGGCTAAATGGATACCGGGTATCTAAATGGAAGGCTCAACTAATTCAAACTTGAGTATCTTATTTAGGATGCAAAGTAACAGGAGGACAACCAGAACCTGGAGCAGCTCGGAAGGAAGCAATCTCTCAAACACCGTGACCGTCCACAGTTAAAGACATCCGGACATTTCTGAGAATGCCGGGATGGTGCCAACCCTGGATCCATGATTATGGTGTTCTGGTAAGACCCTTATACGAGCTGCTAAAAGAAAATCCAACCTTTCTAAAATGGACAGATCAAGCTGAAGAAACATTTAAAAGTTTAAAGACAGAGCTCATGAGAGCTCCAGCTCTGGGGGTCCCGCACATAACTAAACACTTTTGGCTATATTCCTATGAGAAATAGGGTGGGGTTTCTCAGCCTTGGGGGTTTTGCAGGTATGCAGATATGACTGATAAGACAACGATCCTAAAACAATGTGATGAAGAAATAACCACCAGGGGTCCGAAGCCCCACTACCACATTTTTGTAGGCACACAGGAGGCATTCTCTAAAGTATGATGTAATGTATGTAATCTAAGGAACATGTATGTTTAAGGACAATATAATCACAGCCTGGTTGATGATCAGCAGAGAGATGCTTGGAGGAGCTATCCCCCGTGTCTCCCGGCGCCGCAATAAAGAATACCTGCTTGTCAGCTTGAAAACTGTGTTGGCGAGTTTCTGGAGTTTTCATCATCAACAAGCAGGCGGCTCGAGCAGCTGCCCTCTTCCACTGCAGAGGCTGGAATGTCATTTCTTTTGCTTCATGAGCTCTGCTCATCAAGACCTGGCTGAATGTTCAGGGTAAACACATACCTTGCCGGTGCCCTACCAGAAGCCCCCTGGGAGGAATCCAACAACTACAAGAGGCAGGATAGTGGGGCTACAAATTGGAGACAAGGCTTAATACAAAACACCTCAGCACTCCAAACATTTCTTTCCCAATAACAGTGTTCAAACCCTCAGAGAAAACATCCCTGTTTCATCTAGCCAGCAGTTAGTTTGCCACAGACACACTTCCACAGCAAGTTTCACGCTCAAGATGCACAGCCATTCTTCTCAGGGTAGGAAGACGCTTAATCCCAACAGTCCAGTGCCTTTTGAACGAAGTAGACACTGCTGTGGCAGGGAAGCAGGACTGAAGCCCTGGCTTTGCTTTGGCACCCTTGGAAGGCAACGCGGCAGCGTTCAACGGACGTTTATTGTGTGGGGTCATTGAGAGCGGCACCAGCCATGGGAGCTGACCCTGGGGTCACCCGGTCCCAGCCCTGCCAGGGCAGGGGCACCTGAACGTGTCCAGGCAGGGCTTGGATGTGCCCAGAGAGGGAGCCTCCACATCCCCCTATGCAGCCTCTTCAGTGCTCTGACACTGCAAAGGAACAAGTTCTTTCTCATATCCAGGTGAAACTTCTTCTGTTTCAGTTCATGCCCACGGCTCCTCATCCTGGGGCTGCCCACCACTGAAAAGAGTCACGCACCTTCCTCCTGGCACCTGCCCCAAACCTCCAATCAGCTCCCTCCACCACCTCTCCCCTTCTTCATCTCTGAGGGCTCATTCTCCTAGGAAGAAACTGCTTTCACCCTCCACAAGCAGGGTGGTCAATGGGAGTGGGAGACACCAGGCTTTGCTCCCAGGGTATCAGACCTCACTGCTCCCCAAACTCCCCCCACCTAGGGCTCCCCACCCCTGTGGGTCTGCTGGTGCCGGAAGAGCGCCGAGCTCGCTCTGAAGCCCTTTCCACACTCAGCACAGACGTAGGGACGCTCCCCGGTGTGGATGCGCAGGTGCTCGGTGAGGTGGCCACTCTGTCGAAAGCTGACCCCACAGTGGGCACAGGCGTAGGGCCTCTCCCCGGTGTGGACCCGCTGGTGCCGGATGAGCTGAACGTTGTCAGAGAAGCTCTTCCCGCACTCAGCACACTTGTAAGGCTTCTCCCCAGTGTGGGTTACCTGGTGCTGGATCAGCTTTGAGCTCACGCTGAAGCTCTTGCCGCACTCTGAGCACTCATAGGGCTTGTCCCCAGTGTGGACAAGCTGGTGTCGTGTCAGAGTTGAGCTCACGCTGAAGCTCTTCCCACAGGTACTGCATACGTAGGGTTTCTCCCCAGTGTGGACCCGCTGGTGTCGTGTCAAGGCTATGGACAAGCTGAAGCTCTTCCCGCAGGTGCTGCACTCGTAGGGTTTCTCCCCCGTGTGCACCCGCTGGTGCTGAATGAGCTTCGAGCTCTGGGAGAAGCTCTTCCCACACTCGGCACACTTGTAGGGCTTCTCCCTGGTGTGGACCCACTGGTGTTGTGTCAGGGCTGAGTTCACGCTGAAACTCTTCCCGCAGGTCACGCACTCGTAGGGTTTCTCCCCAGTGTGCACACGCTGGTGCAGGACGAGCTGAGAGTTCCTAAAGAAGCTCTTCCCGCACTCGGCACACGTGTAGGGGTTTTCCCCAGTGTGGGTTACCTGGTGCTGGATCAGCTTCGAGCTCACGCTGAAGCTCTTCCCGCAGGTCCTACACTCGTAGGGTTTCTTCCCCGTGTGCACCCACTGGTGCTGGATGAACTGCGAGTTGTCAGAGAAACTCTTCCCACACTCGCCACATTTGTAAGGCTTCTCCCCGGTGTGGGTTACCTGGTGCCGGATCAGCTTCGAGCTTTCTCGGAACCTCTTCCCGCACTCGGAGCACTCGTAGGGCCGCTCCCCTGTGTGGATCCTTTGGTGCTGGATGAGATGTGACCGGTGCTGGAAACTCTCCCCACATTCGGTGCAGGAGAAGGGTTTTTCTCCGGTGTGGATTCTCTGATGCTGGATGAGGTTGGAGTTCATCTGGAAACTCTTCCCGCACTCCCCATGTATCGTCAGTTTCCCCATGGAACGGTTTCTCTGCTGGATAACATCCGGCAGCCTCCTGGAGCTTTTTCCACACAGTGCCACTCGGCTTGGCCTCTTCCCCAGAGAACTCTGAATCCTTTCGGACCTGCGTGGCAGAACAGGGTCCTGTGCAGGACCCTGGGAACTGTTCTCCTCAGAGAGTCCTGAGCAGAAACCCTTGGGCTCCACTGGCCGGGGGATGCCTTGATGGGCATTGTCTTCATTTGTGCTCACAATCCCACCATCAGCTGCAATAAAATGAGAATTCAGACAAGTCACAGGCAGGAATGGAAGCTTTGGACAGGGCAATTTGCAAGGGGCCAAATGCTAAAAATTCAGCACGTAGACTGAATTTAAGTATAAAACATTCTGCTATATCCTGCACTCAGGACATGGTAATTCCCTCCAAACTAAACAGTGGATTTTTCAGTGTTCACAGGAGCAAATGCCGCAAACTGCCCTGCATGCTTCACCAGAACCTGAATCTACTGAAATCACTGGCATATAAGAGGCAAAAGTTTACTGCTTGAATTAATGAACAGATGACGAGAGGCTGGGGAAGACCTGGCACAGCCTTTGGAAAGATATATGTCACTTCACAAACCACTCAGAGTTGTTCAGAGATGTCCCCAGCTTTATCAAAAGGGACATCTGGGGTCTGGAGGCATTCCCAAAAGACATTTATCCTTCACCAAAACAGGTACAGAGGAAGACAAAGGCATGACAGGAACCATCAGAGGCACAGAGCAGCTTCTGTATAGGAGATGAGTCAGCTGCCCATTCTGCTGGGAAAAGGTACAGCTGATAGGGGGTATCACAGAGGACTATAAAAACACAGGTGGCCTGTGGGGTGGTTTGGCATCTGTGGCATGAATGAACCTCACAGGGCAGTAAAGAAGGGAAAAGGAGGTGGAAACATTTGCTGATGTTTTTGTGTTCCTCAGGGTTAAAGACAAAAAACCTGACTACAAACTGTGGCACAGCCTTGAAATACTGAACAACCAGGTGACAGGGGACATTCACTGCAAGTAAACAAAGACCCGGAGAGGAGAACAGCCTCTACAGCTTGCACTTACACCAAACTGGGATTAGGATGTTCTAGATATCGTTCTGGAATAGCACCTTGGAGTCTGAGCAGCTGGATGAAAACTGCAGCTCCTAGGCACACAATACAGCCAGTCAAGCATCAATAAGTGCTGGGGGGAAAACAATAGAGAGGAAAAGAGAATGTAATTATGCCTTGCTTCTCAAACCCCGCATTCTGACTGCGTGCAAGGGGGAGGACAGATCCCCCATGTCAGAGACACTCTGGCAGAGCTGAGGAAGACAGAGGCATGACAGGAACCATCAGAGGCACAGAGCAGCTTCTGTATAGGAGATGAGTCAACTGCCCATTCTGCTGGGAAAAGGTACAGCTGATAGGGGGTATCACAGAGGACTATAAAAACACAAGTGGCCTGTGGGGTGGTTTGGCATCTATCCTGCACCATCTAGTCTGAATTAAGAACTCGTGCCAGCAGGAAAAGGCACTTTCAAAACAAACCAAAGGAGGCTGCAACTCATAAATCACCTAAATAAGCTGGGGAACTCCTTGCTTGCTGCAAGCTGCCACGGCTGCTACAATGTGCGCAGCTTGAGAAGGCAAGAAGATAGATCTTGAGACATTATGGGCCTAGTTCAGGAGCTTCTGAAGCCACAGACGGCTCAGGCCTGTGAAAGGATACAGGGACACATCACTGTTTGTCTGCCCTTCTCTGGGTCTTGATCAAAGGCTGGGCCTGCTGCCTGCGGTATGAGGAAAGGCTGAGAGCTGGGCTTGCTCTGCCTAGAGAACAGAAGGCTCGGGGGAGACATGATCACCACAGTCCAGTATTTAAGGGTGCCTACGAAGAAGACGGGGGCTCCCTTTTCACAAGGGGTCACATGGAAAAGACGAGGGGTAAAAGTTACTCCTGGGCAGATTCTGGTTGGACACAAGAGGAAAAGTTTTCCCAGTGAGAACAACCAGCCATTGCAATAATCTCCCCAGGGAAGTGGTGCACTCCCCAGTGTTGGACGCTTTAAAGACTCAGCTGGACAGGGCACTGGGACATCCAGTCCAGGTCATGCTTTGCCTGGAAAAGTTGTACTGGATGATCCTTGAGATCCCTCCCAGCCTGGTGCCCTGTGGCGCTATGAATACCGTCGCCACAGGCAGCAGGTGAAGCTGGACGGGCCCTGCTCCAACCCAGCACCTCCGCCCTTGTACATTCTGGGGGCGCTGGTGCTCCCGGAGCACTCTTTCTCATGACGGGTTCACACTGACGGCCCTTACCTGAGGTGCCGCTCAGAGCACTCTTCCCTTCGCAGGAGCGGGACAACCGCAGTTCCTCCTTCTGATCCATGTGGATGAGCATCTCCGGCGCCGCTCCGGGGAAAGAAACGAAGAGGGTCAGGCCAGCTGGGCTTTCACCGACCGCTACCAGCGGCGCGGCTCGGGAGCTAGCGGCTCCGCGACGAGCAGGGACCCCGGCTCCAAGGGGCGTGCAGCGGAAAGCACCGGGCCCCGCAGCACGCCCCTGCCAGGGAGGCTCACGCGGCCGCGGGGGGCGGGCTTCCGGGCCAAGCCCTACCGGGTCAGGGCCCGCTCCCTGCGGCCCGGCCAGGCCCGCCCTCAACGCCTGGGACGGCGCACCAGGGGGGTGCTGCCCCGTGACGGCAGCGACCAGCGACGGGCGGTGCTTTCGCCTCCACGGCCGGAGGGAGATGGCGGCGCTGGGCTTCCGGTGGCGATGGTGCCGTCCTACGGTGGGGCTCCCCCCGCGGGCCTGCCGGTACCGAGTGATATAAGGAAAGCAACTGCCTGGAAAACATAGGGTTAAAATACTTTTAACTTCACTTAGGTCTGAGATAAAGAACAATGTTTGAGTTGTATGTCTGTGGTGTCATAACAGAATTTAGTAGTCTTACTAACAAGAGTGAACTATTTCTTACCATCCTTCTAATTATCAGTTAGTTTGGGGACAGGGACTCCCGAACATCTGCTAGCTTAGGATACTCCTTGTCTGCCCATCCTGTTCTGCTTGCAGTATTTCCTGCCCTTGCCTTCCGCGGGTATGAGAGGATACTGGACTGCCTGGAGGGGTGTCTGATTCGGAATCCCCACTTTCCTCTTGTGGTGGTTCCTGTCTCACAGGTGGTTTATAATATTCTGGTAAATCCCCACCTCCAGAGTGCCCTGCCTTTCCCAGTCTGGTACATCTCTGCTCTATACTATGTGCCAAACAACATCTCTTTAACTTCCCTTTTCCTTCCTTCCTATTACCCTTCTCCAGAGCCAACACCATCGGGTCTTGTGGAGCCCCCAGCCCACATTCTGTCTGCCATTCAGGATGATCCCGAAGGGTAAAGAACATATCAGCATATGAAACTTCATCCCATTTTCCTTCTCGTCTCAAAAATAACATTAATTGTAATAAGGTATTATAATTCCAAGTTCCATTGAAGGGCCACTTTTCCCCATCTTCCAATTCATATGAAGGCCATCACTGATTACAATATTTGGTCAAGGTTTTCTTATTCACACTTCCTCCCAGTGGCCCCCCTGTATCTTTCCAATGAGCTAAAATGCAACCTGAAGGGCTCTTTTTGAGAATTCCCCCACTCTGCTGTCCTCCCATTGTAAGCCTTTAAAGATATAAGACACCGTTAGCCCTACAACAATAATATCTTACCCAGAGTAAAAGGTATAAGGACGTGCTGCACCCACAACAGATACACCCAAATTCCAAACACTTCTGTAAATAAACGGCTTGTCTCCCACCAAAAGAGATAATATATTTTGAACAAGCAGGACACTGAGCTCGGATATACAAACAACAGCGATGACAGATTGTGCAAGGGCTAGTTGGAGCCCTGCACCAGGGAGCTTGATCACTACTCTGACAGTTAACCCCTATATTGCTCTACTTGCTATGCCACGTCTCACTCACACAAAACACTCATTCACACAAAGGGCCGGTCTCTCAATCACCCACTTCATACAGAATGTCCTCTAAGCCAGGAATTGGTAACACATAAATCTTAAGCCACTGTTTACCCACCAGAGGTTCCTGAAGCTGTTAGTACAGTGACCCTTGTGTACCCTACCAACCCGACCCAACCCAACCCTTGGGGCGAGCACCTGCACTCTCCACCTTGTGTAGGACACCTTCTCATGACCCACAGGTATCCCCTTTACCTGGTTCAAACATACCTGATGATTCACTAGTGATGGCCCTTGTCTGCTCCTGCGGTGATCTGAGTGAGTGGGGGAGTCCTCCCAAGAAATCTCGGGGGCGCCCAGAGGAGTCCCGTACTCAGGAGGTCCTGCAGCCGGACAGAAGTTGTCCCATCTGGGGTGCAAACTAAAGGACAGAATCAGACTCTAAAACTCAAAGAGAGTTATAAAGCAGGTATGTTTATTACGGCGCCGGGTGAAAGGGGGACCGCTCCTCCTAACTTGCACACCGAGGGGTTAAGTAGGCAGATATGTATTATGTACAAACATGCATGTTCATTAGGTTCCCGAGAGTTCGGTGGGGATAGTATTTTAGGAACTCATTATGATAAGTCTCTTCCCTTTTGGCGCCTGTGCGCTGCCCTCCAATAGTCGTGGGCAAGGGTCTTCAAGATGCAGTAAGCAGTCTTCCTCAGGGTGCACTTTTCACCTTTGGCGCAGTGGGATGCCCCAGTGAGCACAAAATTAGCTGAAACCAGCCGTATCTGTAAGTTTCTGATTGCTGGCAATGATTTAGACCAGTGTGACCTTCGTACAAAATTTATGGGAAGCAGAACAGGATGGGCAGACAAGGAATATCCTAAGCTAGCAGATGTTCAGGAGTGACTGTCTCCAATCTAAATGATAATTAGAAGGATGGTAAGAAATAATTCACTCATTAGAAGGATGGAAAGAAGTACTTCACTCTTGTTAGCAAGACTACTAAATTCTGACATCGCCAGAGGCTGTCCCCGCAGGCAAAGGGTCTCTCTCCGAGTATCTGTGGAAGGCTTCAGCTCTGCTTGCTGGGAAGGCTCATCCATGCCAGACCAACAGCAAATGCCCACCTCAGGGGCAATGTACACCCTTCATGGCAGGAGCTTGATGAACAAGCAGATGCAAGATGCGAGAAGGTACGTAAACATCTGCAGCACAGCTTTTCAGAATAAACCTACAGAGGCTATGTTTTCAGGCAGCACACAAATCAACGTGGTGGTAGCTGCAAAGGATGACCCACAGTGCCGCTGATCATTTCACTGTCACAGTGAATTTACAAGCAGTGTGTTCCGAAGCTCACTCAGGGCTCACACGGTGTATACTGGCAAGACACGCTTTGTACAATGCCAGTAACATACCTGCTCCTTTCTTTAGCCTAAAAAGTAAATCAATACCTTAGTTGAAAAGTTGAGTTTGGTTTGCTTCTTCTGCAGCCTTGGAAGTGTTAAACAGAAGTATCAAAATATTTCTGATAGCTGTTACTACCCACTGGAAATAAAAATGAAAGCAATGCATTTTCCAAGACAAATGTGCCTGCATTAGGAAGGCAAGAAAACACATGAATGTATACAAACAGAACTGGCTGGCAACACGTCATCACTGGCACATGGGAACACCGGTGCTAGCTTGGGAAGGCTGCCTTTGCTTACGGAGTAATGAAGCAGGGGATTGAATGATTTCTGTCAGGGAATTTGCAGTGCATGTCAGAAACGTCCTCAGAATTTCTGTCAGGGAATTTGCAGTGCATGTCAGAAACAAAGCAGTTACCTCCAAACCTTGGCAGCACAGATGTGGTATTAAGTCATCTTTCCGCATTAGGCAGAGACTGCCCTGGTGCAAGCTTTAAGGATGACAAAGATAGGAGGATGGAGACACTTTCAGTGCCTAAAATTCACAGTTTTTTCATAACATACTAAACAATTTTTTATGACAAAGTGTTATTTGAATGACTGCAATTTACATCCACTGAACTGTGACACCGCATTAACTGAGGATTTAATAACCGATTACAAAAGCTTTGATTGTAAATGCAAGTCATACCTAAAAGAGAGTAAAAAAGCTGGGAAAGGATCTTACTTATTTTCCCATATTAAGACTGGTGAGTAGGACTGAAGTTTTTTCAGGGCTGAAGTGTGTACTTGAGAGAGAAATACACGGTACGCTGAGGGTAACAGCATTTACTAGAATGCCACTTAAGGCAACCTTGGCAGAATCAGACTCTAAAACTCAAAGAGAGTTATAAAGCAGGTATGTTTATTACGGCGCCGGGTGAAAGGGGGACCGCTCCTCCTAACTTGCACACCGAGGAGTTAAGTAGGCAGATATGTATTACGTACAAACATGCATGTTCATTAGGTTCCCGAGAGTTCGGTGGGGATATTACAATTACTTTAGGAACTCATTATGATAAGTCTCTTCCCTTTTGGTGCCTGTGCGCTGCCCTCCAATAGTCGCGGACAAGGTTCTTCAAGATGCAGTAAGCAGTCTTCCTCAGGGTGCACTTTTCACCTTTGGCACAGTGGGATGCCCCAGTGAGCACAAAATTAGCTGAAACCAGCCGTATCTAAGTCTCTGATTGCCGGCAATGATTTAGACCAGTGTGACCTTCGTACAAAATTTATGGGAAGCAGAACAGGATGGGCAGACAAGGAACATCCTAAGCTAGCAGATGTTCAGGAGTGACTGTCTCCAATCTAAATGATAATTAGAAGGATGGTAAGAAATAATTCACTTGTTAGAAGGATGAAAAGAAGTACTTCACTCTTGTTAGCAAGACTGCTAAATTCTGACATCGCCAGAGGCTGTCCCCGCAGGCAAAGGGTCTCTCTCCGAGTACCTGTGGAAGGCTTCAGCTCTGCGTGCTGGGAAGGCTCATCCGTGCCAGACCAACAGCAAATGCCCACCTCGGGGGCAATGTACACCCTTCATGGCAGGAGCTCGATGAACAAGACACGTCAGCAGGCAGTGCTTGCTAAGGAGAAAGCATCCAGAGAACAGAAAGCGGAGCTCTGGAGCTTTGTAGGTGGACTGCCTACCCTTCCAAGAGATGGGGACCCCAACGGGACACTGCCAGGCTTCTGGAGCCTCCTAGGTCCCAAGAGTGGAGGCAGGCTGAGCTTAGGCATGAACTTAAACCCTCAGCGATTGCTTAAATCCATGAGGAGAGAGCATTCCTGAGCCATCTAAGCTTACAAGACTGCATCAGGGCAGCTGGAGAGGCGGGGAAGCTGAGCAGAGAAACAATGCTGGTACCTCTTGAACCCGTGTTCAGGTGGACGGCGGCTCAAACGTGGTTTTGCTCAAGGCTGCATCACCTCTCCCATGTGCTTCATCTTCCATTATACAACGAGCAGCATATATGCAATGCCTCTGAAAGGAATTTTATGCGGGAATACTACTAAAACCATACAGGCACATTTGAAAGGCATTTCCAGAGCAGCTCCAGTCCCCTTGGAGAAGCACAGGAAGGATTGCGCTTGGATTTACCCCTTTGATACCTAAAAGCTGGCACTGCAGGTGTAATCTGGTAGAAGGGGAAGCCGCAGAAGTCACAACTCTGCT